TGGTTAGTAGTCCAGTACTTATCCTACTGCACCAAACCAGAAGTCCAATAAAGTTTTTACTCCCCGCAAAAATTTATTTCAACAATTAAGCTGAATTTAGGATTAGAAAGAAACATGTAACATCTACTCATCTTCTACCTAACTGTACTAATTAAAAGACACGGAGATGTAAGCAAAGTCTAAAGAGTGATAATCCATTGATCATGTTAATTATCAGAGGCACCCAAAGCGTATTTTCTTTCTTGCAGGTGTTGCCACTGCCAGAATCATTATCAGATCTTTTCCAACTTTCTTTAATGTACAAACTGATGTTTTGCAAAATGGCAGCATCATTATCCAGTTGTAAAGTGATATTCCAGGTAGCTGAAGACTGTCGGAGACAGAGTATGAAGTCTGGCAGCTGTTTCAGATTAAGAAGAGCTAAGAACCAACATGGAGTCCTGGTGCTATGGGTTAATGCACCAGACTGCAAAGCCGTTTGAACTTCAAGGTCAGCAGTTCAAGCTCACCAGTTGCTCCTCAGAAACCCTATACAGGGTTGCTATGGGTCAGAACCGACTTGACGGCACTTAACAACAACAACAACAAAGAACCAACATAAGTAACAACTGGATGACTCAAATCCTCCACCTCTCAGAGAACAAAAAAAACTCTTAAAGTGCCATCAGGGGATGAAATAGCAATGAAATATAATTGGAGTTGAAATACCACTGATCTATCCTGACTGAAACCATGTATGAGCCAGTAGCCACTGGCAAGGAAGAAATGAACTGTTAATACCTTGGATGAGGCATTATATGTCCATAGAATTTTAGTTACCAAAGTAATACTCATGTATTCAACTTTTATTTCATACCAAATATCCACAGGGTTTGATAAAGATGTTGTTAATAGCCGTTTAATCAACTCCAACTAATGGCAACACCATGTGTGCAGCGTAGAATTGTTCCATAGGGTTTTCAAGGCTCTGACCTTTCAAAAGTAGATTGCCAGGCCTCTGGATGGGTTCAAACCCCCATCTTTTCAGCTACCAGTCAAGTACTTAACCATCTGTGCCACCCAAGGATTACTAATGGGGAAGACATGTAAGTGGGTAAGATGTAGCAGATCCTATTCTCCAGGAACAATCAATTTGGAGCAATCATAACATCTAGACTGCAAAGACTAGATAAAGAGGTCATACTATCAAAGAGCCCTACAGTAAAACCTGCAAAACTCCGAACCTGTGTGAGTAAGAAACCTGTAAGAAAAAGAAAATTCACTGGGTGTTAATGAGGTAGGCTTCTTATTAGAAAGCAATATAAAAGTGGTAAAATTGTACCCTGTCAAAGGTAGAAAGTGTGTAAAACCAAGAAAAACAAGGTTAGCCCCATAATTTCGGCTCTCATAGGTTTCAATGTATACAGAATAAGGACTGCTTTTTCACCATCACTTAAAGTGAGTCCTTCAGAGGAAAGAATTCTGCCAAGATGGACACGAAACATTTTATTTATTAGGTTACTACTTCAAAAGAGAATATTTAGACATCTGTGCATGTTCTTTGACCTATGAAGTGAATAAATATATGCGTTCAGAGACACTACCATTCCTCACACTATGAAAAGCATCAAAATTGACTGTTACTAATAGCATCTCAGCATTCGCCATCATAAAAAATCTATACACATAACACAAAACTTTTTATCAACCCTAAATTTCTACAATCAATATAGGCTTTGAGTTACAAAACAGCATAAAAGAAGTATCTTTACTGGGTGGCCGAAACAAGAGAAATGCTCATTTATTCCAAGGCATTTAATTAGTTTGATTACAAAGCCAAAAGTAAATTAAAAATTTTAATATGGTAATTACTCTGAAGGGGAGAAAGACATGGGTGTGAAGGAGGAAAAAAAAATAAAGAATGCAGAAGTGCTTACATAATAAAGAAAACAAAAGATATTACCAAAAGTCACCATCCCTACACAAATTTAAACATAATCCTAGCATTTTATAATAGTTAAGTAGGAGAATAAAGTAGGCATGCACCCATGTGTGTGTTTTAGCACTGTAATCTTTAGCTAAAAGTTATTCTTTTAGCTTGGATATGATATTTTATTTTAAAAGGAGAGGAATGAATTATCATCATACTTAAAACACACCATGATAGCAGTTTATGTCCATCCATATTTACTTTTTTAGAAACAGTAAAATTTATATACGAGGAGGCTTTAAAAGTTTACAGATACAAATCCTCCTTTATCTTTGATTCCATTTTTCCATGAACTTTTTGAAGCCTTCCTCATATATTAGCAGAAACTCAGTTCCTATAAGAAAATGACTATAAATAAAATTTTAAATACAAACTTTCTAAATGTGGACTGTGTAATACAACAATCTAGTATACATTACATCAACTATTACAGAAGCAACTTCTTATATTTTAATGACTCCCTTGGAGGACTGAACTTCCTAGAAGGGTAGGTAATAAAGGCAAGAGATAGTGTTTTACTCTTTAGCAGACAAGTTTAGGAAAACAGAAGGAACTGACAACAGAGAGAGAAGTCAAGACGAACTGGTAGAATTTTCTCCTCTGAAGTATTTTACTAGACCCTCTTCCACTCATAAATCATGATGAATCTAACTCTACTTTCTCCAGCCTTGCTCCCAACATTCAAAAATTCCTCTTACATCTCCCAATTGGTAAAATTGGAGAGCCAGATTAGGAGGATGTAAGAGGAATTTTTGAATGCTGGAAGCTATTTAGTTGAAAATGCAATTTTTGAATACTACTCCAGATGTTCTAATGCAAGATCAGGTGACCCTCATATCATCATCCCTATTCAGTCACCAAATCTTGCCTATTTTACTTCCAAATCTGTTTTAAAATGCAACTTCCTCTCTTTACCCCCATTACTATTAATGTACCTAGTATCTTCTTTATCTCTATATAAACCATTTCAAATACCTTTCTGCCACTAATCAATCCCTCACCTATTCTCCCCACCCTGACACACACATATTCTTACTCCATACCGTTAACAGAACTATCTTCCTAAAGTTAATTCTAAATTAAAACAAGATCCCATATTTTCCCGTCAGACTGGCAAGAACTAAAATGGAAAATAATACTCTTCTTGTGGTTCGAGTGTGGAGAAATAAACATTCTCCACTTGGTAAAGAGGGTTATAAGCAAAATAGAAAGAGAATAGATAGCACAATTAAAAATGTATATCCCCTCTGCTTTGATCCATCAATTATATTTCTAGAAATTTATTCTAAAGAATTAAACAAAAAGAGAAAAGATACATAAGTACTTCCTGAAGTATGATTTCCCCTTTTTCACGTACTATACAATTTGCATGGAATGTTATCCTCATACCCATGCTCTTCTTCATCTTGTAAAACCAGAGTTTATTTTTTTAATTCAAATGTCAACTACTCCATTCCCTATTTTCACAGCACTTTATTCACACTTCTGTATCACATTGCAACCTGTTTCTCCATAGCAGTTTGTAAAGTCTTCAGGGACAATGGTTTTATGTATTTGTTTAGGGCATACTCAGTATCTGTGCTACATCTACAATGGAGTCCTGGTGTGGCTCTGTGAGTTAATGCGCAGGACTGCAAAGTTGGTGTGAACAGCAAGGTTGGCGGTTCAAGCTCACCAGCTGCTCCTCAGAAACCCTATATGGAGTTGCAGAGTCAGAACCGACTCGACGGCACTTACTAACAACAACATCCATCTACAATAATGTCTGACTTTAGTAGTGTCATTTTCTTTCTTTTTGTGCCTAGGTTTATTTAACTTCTTAAATCTTGGGATGTTTTCAAAGAAATTTCCTAAAATGCTGCATTCCTATACACATTATATTCTTTTAGTAAAACAGATATATTCATACAAAGCACAAAGCTTTGTGACTTTATATAAGCAAATTATCTGTCTGTATTTATTAATTTATTTGAAGTCTAGGTCCTGGTGTGGCACTGCAGGATCAGCACTGGACTGCGAACCACAAGGTTGGCAGTTCAAACCCCTCAGCTGTTCCTTGGAAAACCTATACAGGGTTGCTACGAGTCAGAACCGATTTGACAGCACTTAACAACAATGACAACAACGACAGGTTTTAAAGGCTTAAGAATTTCCATACTGGGTCAAAACTGTGGTCTATCATACTTAATTGTCTTTACCAAAATTGATGCTGTTAATTAAGTACTAGTGAGTCGGTTCCGACTCTAGCGACCCTGTAATATAAGGTTTCTGAGACTATAAATCTTTACAGGAGAAGGAAGCCTCAACTTTCTTCCACAGAGCAGCTAGTGGGCTTCAGCAGCCAAGTGCTTATCCTACCTAGAGTCCAGTGTTTATTCTACAGAGCCACTGGACTCCCCCCTTCTTAAAATTGTACAAAAAAAAATATGTTTGTAAGAAGGCAAGCTGCCCTCATAGATGCCAAGTTAAACAATTAGAAATGGGTTCCAAAATACTGTATTTCTTCAATAATTGATCATACTTGAAATCATGTTATATTTCAATACCATAACAGAGCTCTTTTCCATGCTGTTAGAGAAGTAGCATTTTGTATAATTTATAATATATAAGTATAGCAAGTACATTAAGTCTGATGTAAGTAGTCCATATACAAACAGTATTTAAGTAGTTTGGTCATATATTTTTTTCCCCCAAGTTGAATCCTTCTTCATTTTCAAGAGGGTTACTAATTTCTAATAAACCTAATTGTAACTTTCATGATTGCGGAGTTCCCGTCAGCCAGTATCTTTCTGGACCGAAGCTCTTTCTAGTTTATCCTTACTGAGAAACAATTCTTAACTCTGTACCACTTCACTTTTCTTAAATTTTGAGTTATCGTACATGATCCAAACTGAAACAACAATGTAGAAAGGCTTATGAGATTCACTTTTACTTTTATGAAAGTTTAAGTCAAGAAAACTTCATCACAATGTAAATTAGAAAAGTGAGCTTTCAAAAACACCTTTGACAATCACTTTACCCCAAAACTTACAGGAGATCATCAGGTAGTCCTCACAGTTGCTTTTGTCATCATCTTGCTGGTCCACAGGGATCCCATTGGCATCTATGACTGCTTCAGAGGCACAGTCTGCTACCAGTACTTCTTCAGAAACTACGTCAGTTGTCAGAGGGTCAGTGACAATTTCTGCTTCTACTACATTATCATGAACCACATGTTCAACATGGCCAACATCAGGTACATGTATAGATTCAGCTGTCAAGACATGTTCTGGCATAGACATTGAGGCTGAAGTAATGTCGGACGCTAAAACATCATCTGGGATGGTGCAGTGTTCCAGGGAAACTTCTTCAGTTACATCTGAATCCAGCACTTGCTCAGGAATGATGACAGTTTCAGATACATCCGCTTCTTCCATGATGTCTGAACATTGAACATCTTCTATAACAACGTCCTCAATAACATCTTGGATTACAACGGAGTCTGGGTCATCAGGAACAAAGTTATGCACCGTTATGTCTGAATCCACAACATCTGAAACAAAAACCGTTTCTTGTACTTCCACAACAATTTGATCACCATCCATGTGTGTAGCATCAGCTCCTTAAAAAAAAAAAAAAAAAATCTTAAAATGACAAATTTCAGACAAGAATTCATGACTATCTCAAGTAGTATAAATGATATTTAACTTCTATTAGGAAAACAGACTGCACATCTGAGTTTTCTCAAACATCACGATAGGTTAAAAAAAATAAAATCTATTTTTGAATCATACTAAAATTAGAAAATTTTTAACACAAGGATATTTTGTGCTCATCCCAAATCAACTAATGAAGAAATACAAGGAAAACCCAACAGTTGAAACACTAAACTTAAACTATATGCATAGGTAATTAAGGGATGATTATTAAATAAGCAATGTAACTTCATGAGGCAAATACACCATTTTCCTCCACTTTATCTGTTTTCCTTCTTGTTCCACCTCCCTTATCAATCCATATTTTTCTTCTTTCCATCTCTCCTGTGGAAAGATTTCTTTCCCTTCCCTTCCAGATTTTCCTTTATTCCTTTATATTTTTTCACCATTTTGTTCAGATTCAATATTCCACTGATATCCTCCACCTATGACTATGAAAATTTAGAAAATCTTCGCTGAGTCTAGGACTTAGAAGGATCAGAATATAAATGAAAAGACATATAGAAGGCCACAGTTAAGGAAGAAAGACAATTGGTTGTGAAGTCTCTGTGGGTGGACAAAATGAATAAAAGCTGCTCTGATATGATGGAGCATGAGGTTAGCTGACAGAGAGGAACCTGCTCACAACTTCACCAGGGTACTACTCCACCTCTCTCCAACCTCTTCCCTGTGCCTCCCAGCCTCTAACCCCCAAGGCACTTCCTCACAATATAGGAAACTCTAATCTAGTCCATTCTACAGTTCAGGAATGACGGTAGAGATTGAACCAATTGAAGCCCAGTGCGATTTAACGATTTACCCAAGATCATACAGTCTGTACAGCATACAGTGCCCAGTAAATATTATTCTGAATGAATATATCAAATGAGAACAGAAATCATATATCCTTACCCAAAATTAGAAAATCAGATAAAATAAATTCAGTATCGCAACTCCTGGTTCAGAGAAGAGCAAACAACATTTTAAAAGAATCTTACCTAAAAAATTAATTAATTAATTAGTGTTTACAGTTGACTCAAACCAGGCTAAGCTCAAGCAGGTGCCTAACTCAATGACTCCATGTCATCACCAGGCCTTTACAAAAACACATAACTTTAATCCCCCTCTAAGACTGAAACTCAAAGGGAACACATGAGCAGGCATGTAAGCTTGCCGATGACCACATTGGTCTATTGGTGAGTTAAAGAGGGGAAAAGGCAGCAATGAAGAAATGTGCTGAGTTCAACCACAGTCCATAGACTCCCACTGACCTGGAGATGAGAGAGAGAAGAGAAAGGGCTGACTGGTCCAAAGTGTGGTGAGACCTGGGGACACCTGAGCCCATGGACAAGGACATAGCCACAGAAGGCTACAGCTGAGAGTGAAGCAGGGGAGATGTAGAAGAACACCCAAACTTGCAGATAATATACCCATCTGACCTAACCTCAATGGCTTGATAATCAGAACTTAACTAGAAGGAAAAAGAATTTTTTTAAAATAAAGGAAACAAGGGTAAACTGCTACAATTTGATGAACTTGACCTATACTTATGGTGGTAGTAGGTCAAAATACCAGCAAAGAGGGATGGGGTCTTCAACATCAAGTATCAATGCTATCCCCTCTGAATACAGGGTAGATAGGGATGGGCAACTTAGACATTGGCTACCTAAAATGAGGGGGCGACAAAGGCACTAAGTGACTGCCTTACAAGGTTTCAAGGAGTTTAGTTTCAGAGTGGGGAGGGGGGAAGGTAAGAGTCCCCAATGTATAGTTTTCATCTTGTCTAAGATGTGTCTGGTCAAAAGAGATAGAGATAAGATTCTTATGATTCAATAGTGAGTAACTATTATCATGACTAATTGAGACTGTCACAATTGTAGGAGTAGAAATTTAGTAACAAAAATGGGGGAGTAGTTAATCTTATAGTACAGAAACAGAGGACCCTAGGACCATCAAGGGAGAAGAGCACAAGCAGAATGCGGGACCTTATCCAGAGAAGCAGCGACACCAGAGATGGGGGCAGATATGAGAATATGGACAGAGCAATCAGGTGAGGACTCTAGATTCATGGAAAGAAAGGGACTGAGAGCTGGGTAGCCAGGAGGCAGACTTGCAGAATATGTGCCCTTTGGTGGTGTAACTTATTATATATGTCTGAATGTTTAAAACAAAAACAAAAGATCTAAAGTGAATAGAGAGAAATACTGTTAACTGGTACATGGAGGGGATTATAATCATTGTAATGAAACAAACTATATGATTTGTTGAATGTAAAACATTTTGGTGAAAAGGTGAAAAATATTTGATAAAAAGGTCCAAATCAGAGAACAGGGTTTAGACACTTATTAGTTTTGTGACCTTAGGCAAGTCATTTAACCTCTGAGTTTTGTTTTCCTCATCAGTAAAATGAGGACAGTAGTATCCACCACGCATACCTCACAGGACTGCTGTGATGATCAAATGGGAATGTGTGGGATGGGTAGTGGTCTGAAAATCTGTAAAGAGAGGTTTCATTATTATTAGGACATACGAAAACGGAGGTACTGGCAGATTAAGTGACTTGCTCAAAGATAAACAAACACCATAAGTGTTAATAATTGGAACTAAAACGTAATAGTCCTTCAATCTACCTTAGTTCATGACCATGCTTGCTTGCAGCAGGATTCAGTTCATAAATGTTGTGTGTATTTCTCCAAAGACCTCAAAGTCTCTCATTTGAGCATATTAATTATACTGCATATTCTGACAGTAATAGCTATGAATCGAGCTGTGAACCTCAAGGTCAGCAGTTTGAAACTACCATCTGTTCTGTGGGAGAAAGATGATTTCATAAAGATTTACAGCTTCGGAAACCCTGTACAGGGTCGCTATGAGTCGGAACCAACTCCACGGCAAATAACCACCACCACCATATTCTGATAAGAGAATTGTCCTTGTTGTTAAGTGCTGCAAGTTGATTTGACTCATAGGGTTTCCAAGGAGCAGCTGGTGGGTTTGACCTGCCAACTTTGCAGTTAGCAGTCCAGTGCTTACAGCACCACACCAGGACTTCAAGAAAGAATCATAACTGTACACTTAACATTATCAACCATGAGCCAAAAAACTATCCTATGTTGTTAAGGAAAACACACATAGCCTCTGGATTTAGAGATTAAAGAAACTTAAAAATTAAAAATCACATTTTAAATTTATTGATGATTAATTACTATTTCTTTAATATACTGCAATATGATAATTTAAAGTCCAATAGAAAAATCATTAACATTTTATTTATCAGGGTAGCTAGCTAGTTTAATAGAGAACCATTTTACATTTTAAAACATAGTATAATCACTGTACACTGTAATGTAACTGGAGGTATGGGTAACTCGAAATTGTGAGTATGGTTTTTCTTATTATTAGAACTGTAAGAATATAATTTTCCATGTGCCATTTGGAGAGCATCTACTTGAAGCAGAAAGCTGTGTCTGGGAAATTACAAGAGACTGGGTTGCAAATGCAGGACAGGGTCAAAATGTAGAAGATCTAGGGCTTTCACTTTATCTATTGGGTAATGGAGCAAAGAAAAAGGACATGATTCATGTTATTTTATGATGAGCACTCTGACTGGTGGACTATATCAAGAAAGACACTAAGGGCAAGGAAAACAGTTTAAAGGTTATCACAGATCAAGAATGAGATGATAGAGCCTGTCTACTTGGCAGGAAGTCAAGTAGAGAGGCACAGGTGTCAACATGTAACATTTTCAAAGAGAGAACTATTAGGACTTAATGGTATGACTGGGGAAGATGAGAACAACTAAGCTAATGCTAAGGTTTGATACTGCTGCTTTTACTGACAGAATATGAGAGTTAGTTGTGAGGAAGCCACATTTTGAGGAGGGGAATTATAATGTACTGTTGAACATTTGTAGTATATATGCATACTGAAGTGTAAATATAAATGTGAGAGTCTACTAAATTCATTCTCTTGATAACCAACCCCAAATTAGGTAGCTGAGAAGTGGAATAGTCCGAGTAGTTATACCTGTTGCATCAAAAAATGAGTTTGGCCCTTGTGGTTGTAATTCAAGTCCATCTTCATCCATGGCCTTTAATTCTCATCAGTCACAGCTCCTAAATCAGAGAATAAGTAAAGATTAAAGACCTGGCAACCTGTTCCTGTAAAGATTAACCAAAGAAACCAAACATAGTGCCATCGAATCAAATTTAGACTCTCAGCGACCCTATATAGGACAGAGTAGAACTGCTCCACAGGGTTTCTAAGGCTACAAATCTTTATGGAAGCAGACAGACATCTTTCTCCTACAGAGAGACTGGTGGGTTAGAACCACTAACCTTTCAGTTAGCAGCTGAGTATTTAATCACTGTACTACCAGGGCTCATCAGTCCATAAAGATTACACCCTTAGAAACCCTATGGGGCAGTTCTACTCTATCCTATAATCACTATGAATCAGAATCATCTCGACAGCACACAACAATAACATACATAAGACCCAGGTTTGATTCCTGACTAATGTACCTTATTAGCAGCCACCACCATTTGGCAGTGGCAGCTTGTATACTGCTATGATGCTGAACTGGTTTCAATAAATCTTCTTAGACTAATACAAATTAGGAAGAAAGGCCTGGTGATCTACTTAGAAAAATTAACCAATGAAAACCCTATGGATCACAACTGACCTATCTGCAACCAATCAGAAGGCTGGCCAGCTCTATGGAAGCTAACAACAACTATAGATAACAAGGTAATGCAGATAAGTCAAACAAGATAACTTTGCTTAGACTTTTTTAAAAATTGAAGTATTGCTATACACAATAAAGTTAACACATCTTGATGAATTTTGATATATGCATAAATCTAAGTTATCACAACAAAACCAAGATACAGAACAATTCCAGTGCCTGAGTACTCCTGTCCCTCTGAGCTGATACACCCCAGTCCTCAAAGGGGTAAACCAGTTTTGTTAAGTTTCCACTTGGAGAGGAACAGTAAGATGGCAGACTAGGGAGACATGCTACACAGGTCCTCCACAATAAAGACACGAGAGACCAAATGAAACAGATATGGATGATAATCCGGGAGCCCCAAGGTCCCTCAAATACTACGATGAAATCAGGACATTTTCAGATAAACACATATAAAAAGAATTTGTAAAACCCAGACAAACATAAAAAAAATACTTACGGGAATTCTTTGGGCAGAAAACTAACAAAGGCAGACAACAATCTAAGATTAACATACATGACACTACCACCCAGAAGTCAGATATAGAAGTATCCAAAGTAAAACAAACCTACAAGACTGAAATAGGGAAAAAGAGATACCAGTTTGTAACAAGAAAAAATACAAATAAAAAGGGGGAATAGTGTAATTACAGAACTTCCAAATGAAAAGGAAGTCAAGTAGATTTCAGGATAGAACAGAGTGTTTTAAACATGGGAAGAAATTAATAAATCGTACACTAACAAAATAAAATCAATAGTCTACTCAAAACATTTTTAAAAAGGAAAATTCCTAAGATTTAATACACGTTAAAATGCCAACAACAAAGGCAATGACAAGGAAACCTATAAACAATTAACTCAGCACAGAAAATTATATGGAACAAAGAAACTAGCAGCACCACACACCAAAAAATGACAGTAATCAATTTATACCTATCAATAATTACATAGAGACAGAGAGTAGTAGAATGGATAATAAAACAAGACCCATCAATATCCTGTCTACGTGAAACACACCTTACACACAAAGACAAAACTAAACTAAAATCCAAAGAGTGAAAACAATATATCAAAAGTTAATGGCAATCTGGAGGAAGGCAGAATCTCCAGTGAGTAGTATCCAATCTGCCTAGGTGGAGCTGATGAAATAAAATGCAGATGGGTCTCTTGTGATACAATAGTGAATAACTGGTATCAGGACTGATTGTGAAGGTTGGAAATGTAAAGGTAGACATTTTATAGCAAGGAAGAGAAGGAATAATTTTTCAGTCTAGGAGCGGAGGTCTCTAGGACCATCAACGGAGAAGAGCGGAGAGCGGGACCCTACCCAGAGCAGCAGTGATGCCCAAGATGGAGGCAGAGACAATGAAGTGGAGCAATGGAGCAGCTGGGGACTTTAGATCCAGAGAGGGAGAGCGACTGTGTGCTGAAGACTGGGAGTGCTAGGGGTCGGGAGGAGATAGTGTAGGGGACAGGCTTGCAGGGTATAGCCTTTGGTCAGTTGATGATGCATGGAGGGGATTGTAACCATGGCAATGATACGTGTAGGATAGAATGAATGTAAAACTAATGTTCTCCCATGTAAACTATCATATAATTCACAATAAAACACTTAAAAAAAAAAAAAAAGTTAATGGCAATCAAAAAATGAGCAGGAGTGGCAGTATTAATTTTTGATGAAATTTAGACCTTAAAGTAAAAACCAGGAAGAGACAAAGGAGGATATTATATATAATGAATAATGGGTCAAAAATAAGTAAATAAATATGCAACCAACGAAAGACCCCAAAATACAAAAATCAAATAGAATTGAAGAGAGAAATGAGACAACTACACACCCACAACAATAATAGGAGTCTTGGTGTGGCACTGTGGGACAATACACTGGACCCGCAACGTTGGTTTGAACTTCAAGGTCGGCGGTTCAAATTCACCAGTTGCACCTCAGAAACCCTATACAGTGTCACTATGAGTCAGAACCGACTTAATGACACTTAACAACAACAATAATAGGAGATTCTGATACACCATTTTCGATGAAGGGCAGAATTAGACAGAAACTCAACAAAGACACAGAAGAACTATACACTATCAACCAACTTGACCTCATAGACATATACACAACACTCCACCCAACAACAGCACGATATATATTCTTTTCTAGTATACATGGAATATTCTCTAGAATAAACCATATTCTAACCCACAAAGCACGCCTCAATAAATTTAAAATCACTGAAATATTACAAAGCATCTTCTCATATCACAATGCTATAAAAAATTAGCAATCAACAACATGAAGATTAAGGCGGTTAAAAAACAACTTAAATACACTCTGTAGCTTATTAGGGGAAAATTCTGCAAAATTTTTATAGCACTTCTCTAAATTTAATGTAGTCTGTTATGTTCCAGCCAATAAATTAAACCCTGATCAAATCCAAAGTGAAGTAAACATCCTGGGGATTTCTGCCTAAGTCATGACCTCTCTTAGCTGACTATCTTATCTAGAAGAATAAACTCCCACAGTGTATTTAGACTCTCCAGGCCACAGCTGATTGGCACTAGCTATAAAATAGTATCAAAGTCCTATCCCTGAGAATCAGAAACCATGAAAGTCAGTCAGTCTTTTCACAAATCAAAATGTATATGAATTGTTGAATGGAAAACCAACTAGCTCTGTAAACTTTTACCCAAACCAAAACTGGGAAAAAACAAACCAAAAACCAGTAATCCGCTAAATCTTGGGGTGAATGGGCATGCAATTTGGTCAACTGGCATAACATAGCTCAAAAAGACAATGTCCTACAGTCTAGTTTCAAGAGTAAGTATTTTGTGTCTTAAAAGCTTGAGAGCTTTTAAGATACAACAATTGATGTCTACACACTGGGAGCAAAAGAGAAAGGAGGAGGAAAAAAAAGACTCAAAAAGAAACTGGGCCATGGGACAAATAGTCTATACAAACCATGGCCTCCTCTCACCTACCTCGAGACCAGAGAACTAGATGGTGCCTGGCTACCACTACTGACTGTTCCAACCAGGAACAACAGATGGTTCTGGATAGAATGGGAAAAGCATGTAGAACAAAACTCAAATTTCTATTAAAAAAAAAGGCCAGACTACTGGATTGACAGAGATTAGAGGAACCATTCAGACTACTGCTCTGGGATATCCTTTAAACTTGGAACTACTTACTAATCCTGGTGGTCAGTGACCTCTCAGCCAAAAGACAGAGTGGCTCATAAAATAAATCATATCACCTGTGAACTACTGTGCACCTCTAAACAACCATCTAAATGAGATTTAACAGTCAACATTTACTTATCCTAGACCAAAGATGGCAAATTAAAAGAGGGGAAAAGCTATATTAATGGTCACAGAGTAACTAGAATGGAAATTATGAGAATGCTGACACATTATGAAAAGTGGAACCTGTATCACTGAGTAATCTGCATAACCCACTGCCTTCGAAAATGTATAGCAATTGTCAAACAAGAACCAAATTTGCTATGTAATCTTCTCCAAAATCACATTAAAAAAAAATAAAATAAAATAAAAGCCTGTCTTCGCCCCCACCCCACTCTGGTGGCTTAAATGGTAATATCCAAACATGGGAGTCAAAGAAAGCCATTTTCCAACTTTGGCTTAGGCTACTGTAAGAAAGTTTACAAATAAAAAATGAAAAGAATCCAGTGAATACCCCAAGAAGTAGAGGGAGAATAGAAGAAGTATCAAGTTTTTTGACTCCTGATTTTAGACCTTTCTGAGGCTCAGCTATATTCCTGCTCTTCTCTCTCTTTTCTACTTAAGCAGAAAAGTTCAACCAAAAAGAACTTTAATATGAAATAATAGGTACACTACTTAATTACCATTTCAAGAGAGCAGCCATCAGGGATTGTGGTTTACTCATGTGCAAGTATTGCATAAACCTCCTAACTGGTTTCCCTATCACTACTTTCTCACTTTCTAATCTACCCTAAGCAGCGCTATTAGACAAATCTTTTATCTTATCATATTTTGCTGATGATGTAAGTACTGGATGCTTATTAAATTTTCAAATAAAAGAAATGAGTCATTTTGCTAAATCATAACGTAATGTTATCTCTCTGTTCAAAAATGTTAAATGGATCCCTGCTACCTACAAATAAAGTTCAAACTTGGTCTGTAATCTTGGCTTCAAACTACCTAACCTTCATTATTTCTCCTAACTTTCCTTTAAGCACCTGCTCTACTACCACATGTGCACATGCACACATACCTCAAACAAAAATACTCACGAAAGCCAAAGACCTCACACAGCTCTACATTTGGCTCGGGGTCCCTTCTACTTGGAGTACCTTTCCCCTATAATCTCTGCTTTAATCTAGCCACCCCAAAATCTTCTTCCCCAC